TACTAATATTTTTTAGACTGTTGCTGCTTGTGATTTCTGTAAATACAAATGGAGAAATACTTCGTCTGCCATGCAAGATCTTTGCCAATTTTACTGCTGTGCTTCATGATCAATCACTTAGTTCTACATTTCGTTCTTTGGACAACTTGGATGAGCAGATGTGTAAGTTTGAATGCATCATGGAGCATCGATGCAAGTCTATAAATTTAAACAGAGAGCTTGGTATTTGCCAGTTGAATAGCAAATCAGCACAGGATCCAAAAGATTTCATTGAAACGCAAATAAAGGAGGGTTGGACATATTATTCAACCCGTTTTGAAGAGAAAAATGTGAGTTGTCTATTGAAATACCTATTTAAAATTCAACTAACTTTATAAATTTAAAAATTAATTTGGTGACAGAAAATTGCGAAAAGGGCACATATAAAAATTAGTTGAAAAGAGAGAAGAAAGAAGAGCAACAAGTCATTGATCAAGATGAGCATCAAACACAGCTTTCAATCTTTATCTTTTTAGCTCTGCAAAAAACATGGCCTTAAAGAAAAAGAGCTTTTATTCTCGTAAATTTCAAGACTAATATAGCACTCGTGATTTGTTGTGATAGGGCTAACAATTGATCATTCATGAAATAAAATTTTTACATTGCAGGTTGGTCAGTATTGTCAAGCAAATGATCCTTGCAGCGCCGGACATAAATGCATTGACACTTGCTACTGCCCAGGGTATAAATGCATTGGTAAATACAATAGCAACTACATTGCTTTTGGGGTACAAAGTGCTATACAACCAGTTTTGCATGTTTTGTTTCTAGTAAACTAATTGTGTTGTGTGCCAATGTTTGCATCAGTACTGTTGTTTGTTTCCTTGCCATCAACATTCTATGTCATTGCATTATCCCATCAACGCTATTGTTTTCATCAGTCCCTTTGTTTGATATAATTATCGTGTTAAAACATAATTGGGGTTTGTTTGTCAAGTGGTATATTTGCTGTACCCTTGTTCGTAAATTCAGTCGATTTGAAGTTGACGTTACCTTTAGTCGTGTTAAAGTTGCCGTTACGCAAAATCGTTATTTTGGAGTCGCCGAATATTTGTAGTGTCAGGTTTTGATACATCCTCGTTTTTGTTCAAGTTTATTGCCGTCGTTTGGATATCGAATAGAAATTATGTACATTTTTTGTTGTTCTTCTTTCGTCTACATTTATCTGTAAAACCTTATAGTTTTACAAAAGCCCTTGTTTTGTGTTGTGCATAAGAAGAGTTTTTAATACAATTACTTTTTGTAAATTTTCTTCCACCCACAGCAAAGAATATCGCCTATAAGAAGCCATCTTCCCATTCATCAACCCATACATATAACGGAATAGAACTTGTTGCAAGCTTCGGAAATGATGGTGACAGAACGGCAAACTGGCAGAAATGTAGTTTCACCAGTTATGAAGAGCAACCCTGGTGGCAAGTGAATCTTGAAAAGGTAGCCGCTGTTACACATGTTCGGATAACAAATTCTGTAGCCTGGCCTACACATGATATAAACCCATTCAATGTTAGTGTTGGAAAAGATAGCTGAAACGGCGGAAGAAACAATGCGCTTTGTGTAAATGGTGGAAGGTTGGCTAGTGGCGAGATGAAAACTTTTTATTGTCCAAAGCTGATGATGGGTCGCTACGTGAGTGTGTTTTTGAACAGGAAAGAATTTCTTCAAGTATGCGAGCTTGAGGTTTATGAAGGTATGTTTCAAATAATCTAATTATTTGTGGCTGGTTTGTTTGATATTTGTTTCAAATATTCTATCTTTCTTTTTTTGGTTCTTGGTTAAGTATATAGACCAGGCAATATCACTCAATTTGTTGTAAAAATACAAAGCTCTTTCTTTTTGTCTTCACCCAAATAGTACAGACAAAGTCTGAATGAAAAGATAATTTTTTTCTTTTACACAGGTTTTTGTATTGGCATAATTCTGACCAGTAAATAAGTTACTGTTAAAATAAGATGAAATCCAAACGTGAAATTATTATCCAAACAAAATGCCAAAATGGCAAAACAAGATTCTGCAAGGAAAATATCCATTGATCAATTGGCTTTTACTTTAGGGTTTGGCATGGAGACTGACTTTAAACCAAAGCTTAAGTCAGCAAAAGTGATAAAAATTATCATTGGCCTCTCTAAAACTAAAATGCGAGCTGAAAAATGATAAATTTGAGTATCGCTTGCAAAACATTTTTATATATGCATGTATATATTTTTATTAGGTAATTATTTCTTTCTTTTATCATTGATATCAGAATGTAGATCTCTTGAGACTCATTAGATGTTATTCCTTTTGTTTTCTACGTTGACATGGTGATCTGTTGCTTGGCAAAAACTTCTCAAAATGCTTTTACCAAAATAAGGCATGGAATGTGTGTTTTTTCTATCAACAAGTACCCAATGAATTTTAAAACTAAGTTTTAATATTCTTTATCCGACCATAATTTTGTTAACAGCGAAGAATTTGGCATATAAAAAGCCGTCCTCGCATTCATCAACTTCCATCATAAAAGGAATCGCATTAGTTGCCAGCTTTGGAAATGATGGGAACCGAACTGGGGATGTGTTTAGTTGCAGTCTCACACAAGCTGACATGGCACCCTGGTGGCAAGTTGACCTTACAAGGCAAGCCGCTGTCACAATTGTCCGAATAAAGAATGGCGCAACTTGGGATCCTCACAGAATCAATCCATTCAACGTCAGTGTTGGGGACAATAAGTCAAATGGCGGACGAAACAATACACTGTGTGTGAAAGACGGAACATTGCCAAGCGGAGAGTTGAGAAAGTTCGATTGTCCACAGGTTCTGATGGGTCGTTACGTTAGTGTTTATTTGAATAGGTGGGAATATCTTCAAGTATGCGAGGTTGAGGTTTATGAAGGTATGTGCCTGAACTCAAGGCTTTTAGGCCGTCGGCTATCCTTTATATGATCCCTAGAAATGAGGTTTCGTTGCACACTTTACTAAGCTAAGAAATTTATACGTTATCTGGGACAACTTTTGGTGTAGAATTCAAATCTAAAAAGTTCACACCGATTCAGGCTGCAGTTTTTCCATAATGGCGGATATTCTCGATTGAAGACGTCACAATACCATCTTTTTCAAAATTTCAAAATTTCAAATTTTTTTTGCAGTCATCTTAAAAAACAAAAAAAAATGAGCTATAAACGTATAGGACCCCAAGTATTTTGATAGACTTTTTGCGAAATATAAAATACTTTGCAAGAAAATGCTATTTTTTGCCATAATTTTTTGGCATTAACTCAAAATAAAATGAAAGCATATTAAACAATGATGTCGACAGCAGGCCAAACATAGCGGAATACATAGATTGACAAAAATTAAACTACATGTCTTCTTCATCTTCCGAAGAAATGTCTTCATCAAAATTGTCTCCACCAATTTCACCTTCTTCACATTCTCTGCCATTTTCACAACTATTGCACTGACAAAGCTCAGTACATTCAAGACTATTTTTGACACATGAGCATCTCTTGGTTTTGCAGCCTGACTTGCATTTACAAATAACACACTCTAGAATACTGTAAGGTGCTGCTTCTAGAGTTGACCACTGAATGCTAATGTCTTCACCATTCAAAACCCATCAAAATCCGACTGGAGAAGGCGCGTCAATGATGCATGTTGTTGACCTTTTTCTGATATAGGCTTCATAATTTACTCGAAGTATGTGCTGATACAACGAATCAAAGTTTGGAGGGAGGGTGTCTTCCATGCATTTTCCAAGCTTGAACATTTTGTATCTGGCATCATTGACAGTTGAGCTACCTTTCTGCCCATAGATATGACACACATATTTCTCTAATACGCTCACTACGCTCTCTTCAACAACCAAAGAATCTCCAAGAAGTCCAAGTGCATCACAATAATCTTCACATTCTCGAGCAATTTTCAATGGTTGTGTCTTTCCCTTTCCGTAAAAGGCACTTGTTGAATCGGATCCTGAAATTTAAGTGGAACAGAGCATATAAACACCTTATTGGGGTTATGGATGCTTATTTTGCTTTTAATTTGTAACACAAAAAGCTGTCAATGAAATCTTGGGCAATCATCAAAATATCATCGGTGTTTCATACATCTTAGATGATATTTCAAACAGCAATCGATATCTAATCAATTTACCTACAAATAAGTGGTCTAGCATCTAAATGAGTATGAATTTCGCAATTACGACAGATTTTTTGCAATGTATCCAAACATTGCAAAACAATCACCTACCTGTAAACATGTGAAAACCAATCAACGCTTTACACCAACGTGAGCCAAGTGTTGTTGCAATGGAGTTGATGCTCAGCCTTCTTTTGTTATTTCCTGTACCGGTCTCCAAGAGTACATTCGCACCAATGTCCAAACAGCATGCTATTGCAAAGACGAACACGTCTGTATAAGGGCTCTTAATTATTATTGTATCTGCATGTGCAGCAGCGTGCTTGGCATGGTATCGGCCTCTTCATGGTCTGATTCGAGCGAGGGAACTTCTTCAACCATCACTGATTCGACATTTGGCTTGAAGCTGCAACATTTGTTGGCAGTCGTGGCGTAAACTTCAATACCTTTGAATGCCTCTGGTGACGATCGTTGCCAATATTTAACAAGAAACCTGATAAGTGATTCCTTATTTGAACCAACACCGAAGAATTTTTTCCATTGTCGTGGAACTCTTTGCTTTTCACTTAAGATTGATATCGCTTGAACCCCAGATGATGCCCGCTTTTGTCTCTCGGCATTTTTTGTACTTATTGTAGGATATCTATCCGGCACAAAATCTATTCTGCAGGCACGTATCTTTTTGCCCATTGTTGTGATTCTGTCAAGAATGCTCTCGGCGAATTCACCAAAGGTTGTAGGGAGATTCTGAACTGTTTGCAAAACAGCCATTGCATCTAGAATAAGAACACTGCCATCTGGCAAATTTTCAACTCTAGCCATGTTCGTCTCAGACTCTAAAAAACAAAGAAGCTTTGACTTCACTGTTTTTACAAGGCCTCCAGTAGATGTTGCTAAAGCTGCTGGATACGACTGAAGACTGTAAGTGAAAACGTGTTCCAGATCTATTTCACGATTCTTGGCAATCAGAAGAAGGCGAGCCAAGAAACGAAAATCGTTCCTTATTGGAACAATATTCCCATCTGCTGTTCTGGCGCTCTTTGCTTTCTCAAGGGACTTGAAAGTAGCTAGTTTTAATTTGCTCATCTTTGAAAATATGTCGGGATGTTCAGTTAACAATCTTGTTCGGACGAAGTCCTTGAACTTCAGATCTCCTTTATCGTAAGCAGTTGCAATATCATCTGTAGTCTTACAGTCTGCGATTAAACCACCGCAAATGTTGACTAGTTCTTCGGGGGAATCTTGACTGAAGGGATTCATCATAGAACGTACGGTATCCATAAATTGCTGAATAGATTTCTCATCACGGCCAATACGAGCGAGATCAAGATCCTTTCGTTTCCTATGGAAAAACAAAATTAAAAATCATTTCTTTTCGATTCATAAATTCATTTCTAAATATTTAATTATGGAAACTCCGCCGGTCTGTGGCGACTGGGACCGTGCAAATTACAGGGCTACCATTGAAAAATAAATAAACATTAATGATGTAGGCCAATCACCTTTTGTGAATAAAAAATCGAAGGGAAAAGTTTTACAGTCATTTTTTACATATATTTAGGAATTCAAATAAAGGCAATATTTCTTGTGATGCTTTGGGAAAAATGTTTTTCTGAGAATGAGCCTACCCCTGACACTTTGAAAAATCTACCTAAAAACTGGGGAAATTTTGAATATCTGTATGTTCTGATATGAAATGACATGCTATGATATGATATAAATATCCTTATGACTCTGCCTTGGACACATATAACTAGAAATAAAAAATGAAGAAACATACTTACTTGGCAAGTGTAGAAGTAATCTGCTTTTTTGCAAATCAAGCAAATTTTTGGCAGAACAAAAGAATTTCTTCCAGTTGCCTTAGATTTAGCACCTCCAACTTCCATTTGGGTTGTTAGCCTAGTTCTCTTGTTTCCTGCTGGTTCGTAACTATGAACTGCTGATGAAGTGGAGCAGCCTTCATCCACTTCTGCTTTCCGTTTTTCATGTTGAATCATCGCTCGATCAATGTGATATTTCCAAACCAAATTGTAATCTGAAGTTTTATCAACATCCTCGTCGGATATAAATTCGAGAGACCTTACAGCAATATCTTTCATCTGACCACTCAACAAAAGCCATTTCCTCCTGCTTTCGATAAATTTTGTCCATGTTGTTTGGGTAAAAGACGTCAGTGGCCCTTCAAATCCATCGATATGAAGCAAACAACAGTCGGCAGCCATGACTGCCGTCGCGATACTACTTTACGGACCACTTTTTTAGCCCATCTGATCGCTGTGAGTGCAGGTCAATTTTTTAGCTAGGACAAAATAAACCCACGCAAAAGCACGCACGCATTTAATTCGACAAGGAAAACTGGTTCACTTATAAGAGTATTTGCGTAAGAACTGCAGCCTGAAATTATGTGAACTTTTCGGATATGTATTCAGTATGAAAAAACACGCTTACAGGAAGTATAATGTGTTAGCTTAGCAGTGTGTGCAACGGAGGTGACACCTCCGAGCGTGTAGCTGACGGCCTATTTCTTTCTAACATACCATTGGTTACCAGACCAGAGCCTCGTTATTTCTGAGATTTAATAATGGAGACTATGGCACCCGGGGTATTTCGAATAAAAGGCAAAATTGCTCGCAGCCACTGCACTGAAAGCATTTGCGCGTCTAAAAGCTGTGGATAAATTTTTCTACCAACCGAACATGCGACACATACATTGAGAACAAAAATTTTCAACAGATTAAAATTCGGACAATGAATTTAGTCGAAGGAATTTTATATCATACTTTTAAAATTTCGGACAGACAAATTTTCAGGAAAGTTTTAGACAGTCTTTTGGAAGTGTGAAGCGAAAAGATATGAGGTTATAGTTTCACATTCGTTTCACAAAAGTTTCAAAAAACTTTGGAAGATTATCTGACTATTGAAATCATGACAATGTCATAAAACATTATGTACAGGAACGGCTCAAATCTTTACTTTAGTGGCTCAGTAATTGACGATGAGAACAATAATGATAATTATTTGAACTGGTGGTTCTATTAACTTGGAAAAGGGCTTTTTCAAAAAAAAATTTTCCAAAAATTTTGTAGTCACTCATGTTTAAAGATTGTAGCCTTTGCTTTAGTCAATATTCACTGCGCATATGTGGATCACAAAAAAATTTTCGACGTGACAACCTCCCGGATAAAGTTGTCATGCCAAAAATTTTTACTTAATGTAGATTGCAATCCAGTCCTCCTGGGTGATGCTTTCTATTTTGAATATTGATCTAAGCCTCTGTTTAGTGCTTTCTGGTGACTGGAGAGTCGTACAATATAGAACAATTATATTTGTTTGCTTTAGATATCTTGGACTTGATATCTTCGACTACAAAATGGCTTAAATGACTTATTGCTACAAGAATCAAAGGATCAATGTTCAAAAAAGTCTATTTCTTTTTCAAAACTGTCAAAAGTTGAAAGAATGAATGGGTACCAGACCCACATAAATTTGATTGCAGGACTAGAAGATTCGAGAAGAGGAGCAAAGTGATAAATATTCGCGAGTTTTATCAATAATCATTATAATCGTTTAAGAACCACGCCCGTATCTATAGCCATACACATTTTGTCGGCAAACCACTGGTTTTGTAGCCCCCTCCATCAAAATTTTCTAGCGACAGCACTGGCGAAGGTCCCCGCTTCTCCGCTTAGTTTTCTATTTACGTGCTCGAAATTTTGTGGCTCTGGTACTTAGGGTACTTGGCCTTCCTAAAACAAAGAAACAGGGCTCTTTAAAGCAAGCTTCGGCAACACCATACTTTGTTAATTTCAAAAGCAACTTATGATGTTCCATTGGCATTTTTCAAATTTAAGTACCCAACATCAGACTTTCGTCCATGCAAGCACCACCAATCTCTTTCAGAATGCAAAACTACAATCAATGTATAGAGATTGGCATCAGGCTTGAAAAGATAACCATTAGCATGAGGTCAATTTTGTTTGATTTTTTGTTAAAATTTGCAAGCGAAGATTTTCTATACATTATTTTGCTAACAGAAATTATACTTTTGGATCAACTGAATGGATGCTGTGATATCAATTCTGTCATATTGTGATATTAAAAGTTTATATTAACATGAACTTTTCATTTTAGATGTATTCTGAAAAGAAG